ACTGCCTCATCCTGAAATTTTCTCCAGTAAAGCCAAGAGCTTAGCTTTACCAGAATGCAGGTTCCTGAACTATTAAGTGATCTCCTTAGCCTGCTGGTGGCAGTTCTGGGTATGGCCTGTCCTCTACCACTGACGAAAAGAATCAACAGATGGAAGAGTAGCATTGAGTCTCGGCAGACTCCAACAGCGCCTTCTCATTCCTAGGTGACCTTGAAGATATAATCCCTTAGAGCCGAGATTTTGTGGACACTATATTAACCTTTTTTTCCCTCAATATTGTTACAAGAATTAAGTCAAATGATATTTCTGAGTGTTGTTAAATATTGAATTATTATACAAGCAGTTAAAATCTCAACTATGATTATTTCTGGTCCCCCATACAACAAAATTACCTTTTAATAAGTTAATAATAATAATAATAATAATAATAATATTAATTAATGATAATAATGTCTGTCCTCCCAGACGTCTTGATAAAGTTACTCAGGTGATAACAGATGTTGAAACAAGGGCTGACAATGATGCCGATGTACGTAGGTCATTTAGAGGCGCTGCATGGCATTCTGGTATTTGAAGCTACCTCACGTGGAAGTCAAATAACGATAGCAAACTGAGGTGTAACCCATGCGGCCTGGCACTACTCTCATCATCTCACATTTCACTTACTGTGCTCTTAAAAACACTATTCTTTCCTTTTTTTCCTGAGACAGGGTCTCTCTATAGTCACAGCTGACTGGTACACTTGCTATGTAGATCAGTCTGGCCTCAATCTCACAAAGATCTGCCTGTCTCTGTTTCCCAAGTGCTAGGATTAAAGGTGTGCACCACCATGTCTGACTAAGACATTTAACATTTTATATATTGGTTTATCAGGTTTTATTTTTAAGTTAGTTCTTGGACAATTTCAGCCGCTCCCACCCCTTCTCCCTATTTGCCCTTTTCCTAGATCATATGACTTAGTTTTGTTATGTAACCCATTCGGTTTAATTAGGGCCGTCTGCGGACCATTGGTCTTGGACTAACTAACCATTGGAGCTTGGTAAGATACACAACTATCGGTACAGAACTGCAGATGATGACTCCCCCATTTCCCTGAATCTATCACCAGGAAATAGATAAGCAGTGAGGGGTGGGGCTCCCTAAGTGCCTCCTCCATTCTTGCCTGACTGTTGATGGACACATTCCTGTGGGTATCCAGTGTAGTTAGTCTTCCACAGCTGTTTGTGACTGCAATGGTTGAAGACACTTAGCTTTGATTCGATGTCTGATTATGTAATTTTATATTGCTCCTATGGAGTAATCTGCAGCTCCCCCTGAATCATATGTTGAAGCTACAGTCCCCAATGTAATGGTATTTGTAGATGAGTACTTTGGGAGACAATTTTTTTTTGAGACAGGGTCTTCCTGTAGCCCCAGTGGGCCTGGAACTCACTATGTAGACCAGGCTGGCCTTGAACTCACAGAGATCCACTTGCCTCTGCCTCCCAAGTGCTGGGATCGAAGGCACGTGCCACCAGGCTGGACCATGATAAGATTATTGTGTTTAGAGAAGACACTTTATTTTTTTCTCTTTCTTCCCATTATGTGAAGGCTGAGTGAGAAAATGATTTCCCCCAACACACACGCCAGAAAATGATGCTGGCACTTAGCTCTTGAACTTGCAGCCTCCAGAACTTTGAGAAAAAGTTTCAGTTGTCAGTCACTTAGCAGCTCCAATATCTGAGTCTTTGCAATGCCTCCCAGAGTGACCTAGTTTTCTCATGCGTAAAGTAGGAAATGCACCCCTATGTAGTTGCTGTGTGTTCAAGAAAGTTTGAGAAGATCTTCAGAATACTGCTTGCTTCTCAGCACACCAGATGAAGGAAGATATCTCTTGTATGAACACCTCCTCTCCCGAGCCTCTGGGGCTGTCCCAGAGACAGGAGGCTCAGAGCATTTTGCAGCCAGACTTGCTTGGGTGAGGAACATAATTGTGCTGGGGATTGGGGGGATGACAACTCTTTGAGTCAGGGAGATAACAAGAGGGTAGTGCCAGGCTTTCAACCAGTTTGGTAAGCCCTTCGAAACTACAGAGGACTGCACAGTCTAGAGCACTGAGTTCCTTTCCTGAACTGTTAAGTCCCACATCCCAGTTATAGGGCACAGATAAGCAACTCAGTGCTGGAATTTGGGTTGTGAGGAAAGAAAATTAAGGCAGAGATTCCTGGTGTATAGGGGTGGGCAGGAGTGCCAGAACAACAGTCCTAAACCCAAGGCCTAGAGGACAAAATGCAAGGGAAACCAAAGCACAAACACCAAGTCCAAGTTCCAAGGCAGAAAAAGCTGTCATTTGAACTGGAGGGGAGGGGAACTGCCCAGAAAATGAGAAGAGGGCCCCTGGCAGCTGCCGCCGCCTGATAGGTCAGCTGGATCACAGAGCACAGGCACACATCTGCAGGGCTAGTTCATACACAGGCTGGAAGGCAGCATTTCATCTCTACATCTTTAACACTATTCTTTCAAGGCAAATTCCTTCTCATCTTGGTTCCTTTATAAAACATCCATCAGAGCAGTACCCTGCTCATTGTAGGGGCTAAATCTTCATTGACATGAATTGAAACTCACTGTCCATGGGGCTGGGATTAGCCTGGAACCTCCACGGAAGATCTGCTTTACCTTAAATTATACTCAAAACAGTTAATATGTCTTAGAATGCATGTCACAAGAGGAGCAGACTCATTTCAGCATCCTGGACTTGGTCCAGAGAATTGCAATCTATATACTCCATCTCTTGTTCATGTTTCTAACATTGCCCTGAAAGGTCATTCCCAGGTTACAGTGGATTGTGAGGCAGGAAATAACCGATTCTTGGCCCTATCTCCAAATCTTTCTGTGGTTCTGGGCCCCTGTGTAAGCTGTCTCCTGACTCTACTCTCAGTTACCCCATCTGGGAAATGGGAAAAAACAAAATCCTCTTGAAAACATGAAGATGGATTAGAAATGATATTTTAAGTGATTTCCCAGCTATGTAAGAGAATGCTGCATATCTCATGGCCGCTCACAGGGATGAAATCACACACATGTAAAAGTAATTTTCTTTCCTCTGAAATTGTAAAGAAATATAGAACTTGAGCTGGCCAATTCACTGTTCCGGTACTTGAAAGGGAGTGACCAGTATTCTGAAATATTTGCCATCCATAGTTGTGTCAAAGGAGACTAAACACGTGTGGAATCAGCAGGTTCTAGGAAGAAGCAGAACAGGAACAACAACATATAAAATCACTCACTAAACTCTGGTCTTAGCTCTCAAATTTCCTCATCGGGGTTTCAAAGTCACAGTGTTAGACCTGGCACTGGTACTGCCTTGGGATCTGTCTGGCCTTACAAAACTCTTTCATTCATGCACGAGTTAGGCCCTGCTCACCATGCAAGGAGGATACCTGCTGCTCATTCTTCTGGTGAGCCCAGGTCTCAGCCAAGCTAGAATTGCCATGTAGCCTTGCCTTCCTAAAGCTGAGAGCTTTAGGCCATTGTGGGCGTTCAGTGACGTCTGTCAAGCAAAGGCACGTGCTTGCTGAAGATTTGAGCAGCACTACTCTTTCCAGAGATGAGACCTAATTCTGTACACATTATAGAAACATTTAGTGGGTACCCAAAGCTGGAGAGGGACCTGTAGTAACAACACGAACATTTCTTTAGCACATGATAAACACGAGCCTAAGCATTTTACACATTTTAACTTATCCAACCTTCACGATAATCTTGTGAGATACATATTGTAACTATTACTCTAATTTTACAGGGAAGTCAGTGAGGCCAAAGGAGCCTTGTAACTTGCAACAGGGTTTAGGATGGTGGGGGATCTGAATGCAGGTAATTTCAACCAACACTCTTTTTTTTTTAAAAAAAAACATTTTATTTATTATTTTTATGTGTATGCATGTATTGCCTGCATGTAGGTAAGTGCACCCGTGTCATGCAATGCCCATGGAAGACAGAAGAGGCTGTCAGATCCCTTGGAACTAGAGTTATGGACAGTTGTTAGCTGCCACGTGGGTGCTGGGATTTGAACCTGGGTCTTCTGCAGGAACAGTCAGTGTTCTTAACTGCTGAGCCATCTCTCCAGCTCCAGAACCCACATTCTTTTTAACCACTTGGCTGCAATGGACTTCAGAAGATGATGGCTCTTATCAGGGAAGCAGACTCCTGGAAAAGATACCACTCTATGCTCTGTCACTGTCTCCTCTGACCAACCATCATAAAATCAGAGCATGTTGAGCTTCGGCTGCAATGGACTTCAGAAGACAATGGCTCTTATCAGGGAAGCAGACTCCTGGAAAAGATACCACTCTATGCACTGTCACTGTCTCCTCTGACCAACCATCATAAAATCAGAGCATGTTGAGCTTCCTGATATCTGGGGTAAGCTGGTCCTGGCAGAGCAGGCTGGTATTTTGCTCAGTTTCTAGATTCACTGTAGTAGTCATGGATCAGAGAGCAAGTCTGCTGATGCCTGCTATGCTACTCAGCATCCACAGTTCAGCCACTTGTACAGAGTGTGCTCTCCTTACATGCTTCCCAGCCCTGCCATCGGGAGGCTTGACAATCATCAACATGTCTGGCAATCAGCTGCCAAACACCTGCTCTGTGTGAGGAAACCCAGGCTCTAGAGTTAAAAGCCAGAAATGGAAGAGACTTATTACAGAACATTTAATCTAACCTTTCAGTTTTTAACTGCAGAAACTGAGGCAGCCTGCCAAGGTCTCACTCTGCTTAGTAGCAGTGTAGAGAGCAGAGGCCAGGTCTCCTAACAGCAGAGCGTGCTTTCCTTGCTTGGCTGTACTGGGCAGTGGCAGCTGGCAGCACAAAGAGCTTTTCCTTTTGACTGCTGGGTCTCTCATTGCCTCACCCTGGGGATCTGGGCACAGGTCACTCATTGAACCCCATGGCTCTATGTGTACAGAAGGCAAGCTCTTCCACATCGGGGAAATAGGCTCCCCAGCCTGTGTACAGAAAGGATCCTCAGAGAATCATTCATCCCGACCATCCCCCTCCCACTCCTTGCCTGAAACTTAATTAATCATGTTGCATCTGGATCCAGACAAGACAATAGTGGGGATGTGTTTTTGGTTAGGAACTGAAGCTGCATTCACAGAGGAATGTTGATTAGTTAGTGGTCGGTATCATTTTTCATGCCTTTTTAAGTTACAAAAAATTTTAATATCAAAGCATTTCTCCCTGCACCACACGTATCTATTTCTCATAAGTGCATTCTGCTGGCATAATTTTCTTTTCCTTCCTGCAGGCTCTGTTTATGAGATGATCCATCAGGTTGTCTCCATCCAGCCCTTCAGCAAGCCATAGGCGTTCCAGGTGAGCTGCGAGCTGCAGGCCTTTCCCCATGTGGAAGGGATGGGGAAGGGCGGCTAAGGCTAGGGTAATTGTTGATCAGAGAAGCAGCATCTTTTCACTGTACAGAAAGCAACCTCTCCCTCTAGGATGCCCTGAGTCTCCATTGTAAATGCTGCTGCCCTTTAGTGGTGGACCTGGACAGTGAGGAAAATGGCCCAAACCTTCCAATCTGTGAATTTTGAGGTCAGTTTGAATGCCTGACTTCATTCTTCAATTCTGTTGTAGGAAAATGCCCTCAGTCTGGGAAACCTAGTGCAGGAAGCATGTCTTAATGTGTACAACATGCCCATGTGTGTAGAACATGTCAAGTCACAGATGGTAAGTCATGGCAGATCAGTAATGTTGAAAACATGTAGTGGGGCCGGAAATCTGTCTGCCTGACCAGCCCTCAAGCTAGACTTCCCTTTCAGACAGAGGTGATGGAAGAGTCATAGAAGACAGTAAGGTGCTTCTTCCTTCTGGTCAAGGGCCTCTCCTGCTGAGTTCCAAGCCTAATGCAGGCATCAAAGTGTGCAGCTGACTGAGGGAAGGGACAGCAAAAGCAGCAGGCTCTAAGATGGTCAGATGCAGGCTGACCTTCTTCCCACCCTGACACCATCAGGTTACTGTCACTGGTTCCCTATTACTAGTGATCTAAGGGATGGGAAGGCTTGTTACTAGAAAAGCTGACTTCTCTGGGGAAAACCAGGGGATTTGATGCCTGTTAGGGTCATGTTGATTTCCAAAGCTACTCTGATCAGCTGAGGTAGTATTTGCCTTGACCTGAGCCCAGAAACCACTTTGATCTGCAAATGCTATTCCTGACTCCAGCAGAGAAGATGCATTCTGGGTAAGGTACTAAAGCTGGTGATTGACCCGGAGACCCAGAGTGCTCTGGGACAACCAAACAATAAACTCTTGTTCCCAGAAACCAACTGATTAGTTAAATATTAATTATTCAGAAAATAAAGGGCTGCTTGCAGGCATTAAGCTGGAGGAATGGTTTCATCCAGGCCTCACCTTTGCGGTTTGCTTCAATTTGATATCATTCTTTGCCTATTCCCCAGGCCTCTTACTTGGGATTGGCCAAGGACTAGAGTGATTCTGAGATACAATGCTCTCAGACACAGAGAAAGCTTTTAGCAACAGAAGCGTACATGGTATGAAGCAGGGGTTAGCAAACTTCAGCTTGTGGGCCAAATTTGGCTCATTGTCTGCCTCTGTGAGTGGTTTTATTGTAGCACAGCCACATGTATTTGTTATACTATTGCTTATAGTATATTGTATATAGTATATAGTATATTGCTTATAGTATATTGCTAAAAAGGGGTCAAGACAGAGACTGTGACCTGCAACTCCTACAGTGTTTACAGCTTGCCTCTTTGAAAGAACTTGTTCTAGTATAAAAAGTTTTCCCATTTCCAAGTGGAGAACTGATGATGAATAGGAAGTATGCTCAGATCTCCCTTCCTCCCACCCCAGATCCAAACTTCAGAGTGACGTTCTTATTAGAAAGGCCTTTTGTTTTGTTTTTAATATTTTTAATCTTTGTGATTCCTGACTTCTGGTGGAAAATGTCTAAATATCATATGGCTGTGACAGAAAGCAAAGAAGGATAAATGTCTTGAAATTTAAACTCCTTGGTATACTTCAGAAACCAGGGGACTGCAGGCATCCAGTTTTCACTGGAATTGATTTGAACTCAGAATGGTGACCCTCAGTTACTGACTTAGGGCCATGGTCAGACTCAGAGTTAGGTTTGTATTGCCTGTAAGCGGTCATCTGTAGAAAGTCTAAAAATCAGATTAATTCACATTCCTTGATTATAAAAGTTAGAACTATGCATTTACCTATTTTTCCACTACAGATAGAGTACTATAAAGCATGCACAAATGAAATGAAATTTTAGGATATTGTATAATATTTAAAATGTCCTACAGCAAATGAAGCAATGTGTAATCAGTGTTACTATAATGTAGGTAAAACTACAGATATTTCTTTCAGACATTTGGAGGATAAATGGATGAGGAACAAAGCCTGGCATATTACATAATTTTCTAGAGCTCCCCAGACCTCAAGTCAGGTTTCTTGGAAAGACTGTATTGTAAACGTTCTGCCTTATGACTCTGCTGTTTGAGAAAGTTGGCACCTCTGGCAAGCTGGACTAGGGTGCTGTCCTAGGATGCTCTGAGCTGCTAAGCTCACAAAGGTGTTCCCAGGCCTTGCCACATACCTGTATCCTCAAATGACACATTGAGCTATTCTTTCCTCCTCTCCAGGGTCCAGATCATCTTTACATTCTTGTGGAGATGCTATTAATTGAGAGTCTCAGGGTATTCAAAAGCTTCCCAGAACTGAGCATACCTCAGCACATCTCCTGGATCATCATCTTCATGGACTGCACATACTGTGGTCTAGGAGAGCTGGAGTGGACAAAGCTGAGGATGGACACTGTGCTCAAACAACTCCTAGAAATCAAAGGAGAGGCCCCATCGAACTCTTCTGAGTAAAATTTCCAAGTGTCAGTAGGATCTTCAATGAAGAAAGTAACCAGTGGCTGTCCCCAATGCCCCAGTTCAAATAAGCCAGGGTAGCAACGTTTACCAAAGACCTGCTAAGCGACAAGCCCGTGTTCACTGGCAGGACTTGCCATAAGGCCATTGGCCCGATCTTGTAGGCTGACAGGTGATGGAAGCAGTGAGGAAGACTTCAAAGGGAGAACCAGAGGCAGTATGCTCCAGAGCAAAGGGAAAGGCCTACTTGTTGGCACAGCCTGACTCTGTTGTTCAATCATCACTTACTCTAAGACCTGGATAGACACAAGAACCTATTAAATATCTTTGTGGCTCAAAGATTTAGAATATCTCCTAACCCTCAATTGTATAAGTGGGACTGTCATTAAAGAAGGGCCTAGAATTTCCAGATGAGTGCTCAGTAGGAACCATTTCACCTCCACAAGAGTCCTGTGAAAGACATAGCCCTATATCTATCTTACAGAAGGAAAAAGTAACTTAGAAAGATTAACTGATGAGCCCCAAATCACATCGATTGTAAGTGGCAGGGCTGGGATTCCACAGGTCTGGACTCCAGCTGTCTACCACGAGCCCAAAGGGAGGTCTCAGGGGGAAAGACAATTCACAGAAGAACAGCTTCTAGGCTGAACCTCCTTAAGTTTGTTCAAGCGGACTCCCATACAAGCCACCATCCCTGCTTAAGGGATCCACTGGGGGCTGAAATTTAGCTTGTGTTCTGTACCCCAAACCATAGTCCCTCAAGGCCCTGGGTGCTTCTCCTGTATACAGATAGGCAAGGGCATGTGCCTGCCTGGGGCTGTTCACATAGTGAGATCAAGTGTGAGGAGAGAGAGCAGATCCATCCAACCTAGGTGACATAGAGTTAGGGTGGCCTTGGGAATACCCACTTCAGATTGTAGTTTGGGTTATTCTCTCTCTCTCTCTCTCCTCTCTCTCTCCTCTCTCTCTCTCGTGTGTGTGTGTGTGTGTGTGTTCACCTCCTTCAGCCACTTTTCTCCATTGAGTTCTATGAAGTCACTCAACAGGACATCCCATGAACTCTTTGCCAAGACCGTGGCAGGAGATGAACAAAGAAAAGAAAAAAGAAAAAAGGGAAGACTGAAACATTTCCAAGTTGCATAGAAAATACAGAGCCAGCCCGTTCACTGCTATCACAGTGGAGCGGAATTCTAGGAAAGAACTATCATCAGACATTGCTCTAGTGTTACGGACTTAGGATAGGCTTATACTCCGACTAAAACCAGAAGCATCTGTGGTGAAGGCTGTGCCATTTATCAGAAGCATGAACACTTTTTCACCAACTTGGGGTATGAATGTACTTTAATCCCCTTTGATTTTTCAGTCTTCTCTATCCAGTGTCCCTTTTGTATACCACCCCCTGCCACCCTCATACCCAACTGTCTCAGAATACTGGTGTCTAACAGATAGAAGACCTATGTCTTTTAGGGGAATATCTCCCTTCATCATGTCCCTGGATTCTGTTTCTGAACACTGATCCTTGCAAATTAATGCTTGGTATGGCTGGAGGAACAACCTTAATATCGATCCATAGTAGCTAAGACCATAGTCTCATGATCAGTAGCTTGCCCCCTAATGCGACTACTGTATCACAGTAGGTGGTCTGGAAAGGGGAACAGCAGCAGCCTCCTAGTGCCAAGTGAACAGCAGACACCCTCTAATTATTTTAGCTTTCATATGGAGCTGGAATTGTGAGCCCAAACTTTCACTCTGCCTAAGCTAATTTTATTTCTGTGGCTTAATTGTTCTCCTCAGTCCCTAAACATCAGTTGGGAGCACTCCTGAGGTCCCTCTTGGGTCTGTTTTCAAATCTTTCAGAAGGTTTTTGGACTGATTGGTCAAGCCAGAGACCTTAAGGACTTGCAACCTTATTTCAGTGAGAAAAGGTAGGCAGATCTCCCTCAGTCAGGAAATGGTAGGCCTTTGTAGATCCTTTCAGATTGTCTAGAATCTCTACTTCCAATCAAAGAGAAAGTAATTGTTATCCTTGCTTTTACAGAAGCCCTGCTACATCCACTGATCCAGTGCTGTGAAAAGTTGGGCTAATTAGAGTTCAAGACCATTCACAGTATGAGACTGGCCCAGAAACCCCAGCACTGACAAGGATTTGATAGGAAAGCTGAATCAATCACTCCTTTATGCTGGGGATGAGCATAACCACCTTCTATAGGAACTGGCCATGTACCCTGCCTCTGAGCAAGATAAAAAGGAAAATGTGAACTGCAGCTTCCAGCTTTGCTCCTGAGTGCCCTGTTTATTTTCAGGGGTCCAGGGTGGGTCCAATGTGGGTCCTTCCTGCCCCCTTTCCTAGTGACTTCCTAGTATACCTTTCATTCTTTGGGGGTAGGGGTGGAATTTTTGTTCCCTATGTTAATCCCTGATGCCCATATTTACTGTGTATTGCTATTTCTATTTTATAGACGAGGAACCAGATGCAGCGGGATGGAGTGACCTACATAGGATTTCCCCAACTAATAGGAATACCCATTCAGGTTGCCTGATCACTGGCTCTGAGTAATTAGCTCCTGCCCTGTGCTCTGCCCAGAGCCAGCTGTAACTCAAGAGACTTCAGATTTGGCCTAAGGACAAGACCTTGTCCCTGTGGCCTTGGCACACACATTTGGCTCCTACAAGGGCAAGGATGACTGATGACCTCAGAGCACTCCCTAAATCAGCCTGGACCAGGCAGCCAGGACACCCTCAACCAGCTAGGCTGCCAGCCTACCTGAGAGAAGGCACTGGTGAAACCCCAGAGAGA